TAATTGGATAAATTTCTAAAATATCACAAAATTCACGTGATAAACCCGAATTATTAAAACCGGTTCCAACCTCTAATCGAATGTTTTAAGGGGACCAATTTTTGTCGGTCTTGGGGACGTTACTATCTTTGGTATTGGAAGCATTACTATCATTGGTATTGGAAGCATTACTATCATTGGTCTTGGGAGGATTACCCAATAAAAATTTATATTTTATTCAACATATATACTGTAGAAGGTTTTTTTGTTGATATATTGGATAATTTTTTATAACTGTATATTAGAACAAAGTGGTTCAAGAGTAAAAAAATAAAATTAACTACTCATCTATTAATCAAACTAATCGATTAAAAATTTTTTAATGATTTGTAGTGTGAATTTTATTTAATTAATTACTTTGAATTTTATTTTAATAAATTTGAAAGTTGTTAAAAACGGATACTGTTATTATTATTAGTATACGTGCCATAATATGAAGTTAAAAAATTTTTTTATAAAAATGAAAAACTATTTTTCGAAATCTTTTACTCAAAGCAGTTTTATAAATTCACAAATATTTAATTGTTGGTAAAAAAAAAAAAAAAAAAAAAAAACATTAAGCAGTCGATTCCGATGTTTATACGAAATTAGTTAATACTGTAAACCTAACTGCTAAATATTCATTTCATATATAAGTTTGAATTTTCATTTATACAGTAATTCATTAAAATCAAATTATTTTATAAAGTAAATTACAGCTTTGTAGAAAATATACACGCAAGCGTCGAGCAATTAGAAATTAGAAATCTCCTTTTTGAAATATTTCGCAAAATATATTAAATATGTTGGGTTAGAGATGTCAACGATCACAAATTAATCACTATATTTAGAGCCAATTCTTTCTTTCCTCTTACTAATAAGTGTATAATTGATTTTACTTCATTATATTGAATGAAATATCAGTGTGAAATCTCTTGAAGCATTGTATGCAGGTAAGGGGAAGTTAATAATAAAGAGAACAAATTCATAAGTAATAAACATCAGTTATTATTAAAAATGGTAAATTTACATTTGGTAAAAGTTTAGTGAAAATTCCAGTAGGTTTTCTTTAAACAATATGATATACAAATATTTGTGTTTTAGAATCCAAAATAAACTTAAAATTAGGTTGGTTATAAAGGTTATAATAAAATTCTAAAATGTACTCTAGTTTGTTAAAGAATTCAAATTCAACTTACAATAATATTAAAATTAAATGGGTTTTAAATTATTTTATCAACTTTTAATAAAAGGTTTTACATCGTTTATTAACCAATTTACCGCTAAATGCATTGAGATTCGGTCATCGGATAGAAAGAGTTGTAAAAAAAACAAAAATTAAAATTTGCAATTTTATGATTAACTATATTACATTTATTAAAATCAAAAACTCGAATTTTTCGAGCATCAATGAAATTTCTTTTTAAATGATATTTAAATATAGTATTTATGTAAATATTTAACTTATTAATAATACGTAATTATTCTCGACTGATCTGTAATTTATTCATCAACTATACATAGTCGATAGTAAAAAAATATGAATACGTACGTAATTAATTATCATTTATTATATTTTTAATAATTTCCTATTCTAAAATTATAGAATTTTAATACGTATTCTATTACGTATAATATTGGCAAATATTATGTACTACGTACAATCGAACATTGTGTAATACGCCAAGTACCCTATCTAATTTTTGATTTTGAATAAAAATGTCATTTTCATCTCATAATGATGATGATGATTATTCTGACCTTGAGAGACGCCTAAGAGAATTAAAAAAATCAAATAATGATATTGAAACTGAAAGTGAATTAGCTGAAAGGTTTACAAACCTTTTTGGAAGTCAAATAATTGTTGAAACAAAAGAGGTAACAAAGGATAGAACTTATAAATTATCTGAAGAAAATGTGTTGAATGACGATGAGGTATTTTTAAAAGTTATTATCTTAAAATAAATAAATAAATTATTCTTATAATTTTATTATATAAAGATTGAACAGTTATTGTTATCTGAAGAAAATTTATTGGAGGATGAATCATTATTTTCGAATAAACATCAAAAGAAATTAGATAATATTGTTTCTAGATTCTTGGGTGAAGATGATGAAAATAATCATGTTGATGAAATAGTAGCTTCAGATCTTGTGCATCAAATACAAGACGATGTTTATCTTGAGAATAAATATGGCAATAAAGAAGAAATAAATATAATAGATGATAATGATTTGATAGAAAGATATAAATTGTTGAAAGAAAGTAATATAAAATCATCAAATAATAGTGAAAAGATACGCGTTAGTCCACTAGGACCTCCACCAAAACCCTTAGAACTATCTGAATTTGATATTGACGACGATCCAGATTCTTGGTGTTGTCAGTTCGAATTATTATTGAATTACTAAATAACTTATAAATTAAATACTGATTTAATGGTATTTAATTTTGTAGGTATCTGTAATGAAGATGCAATAGTCAAGTGCAATGGTTGTGATGGTGACTTATATTGTCAAGAATGTTTTCAAGAAGGTAAGTTATTATTATTATTATTTATTATTATTATTAAATATAACAGCTTCAATTGACTTATAATTAATTTTTTGTAGCACATTTTGGCAAAGATTCAGATAGCGAATTTAAGCAACACAAATGCGAAAAATACGAAAGACACGAAACATAATAAATTTTAAATTTATAAATTATAATTCATAAGTTATATTATATATTATATTATTATTATTATTATTAAATTAAGTTTAGATGTTATTTTAAAGATCATTGATATAGCGAAGAATTTTTTTTATAAACTTTATACTCTTTCAATATAAGCTATAGTAAAGATTTTTTTATTTTTTTTTTTATTTTCTCTAAAATGATAATTACGTAATCAAGGATCGCTCATACTATAGCTTATTTACATGATAGAAAAATTAGATTCATGATTACGCAATTGCTATTTTCTTTCGCATATTATGAATTCATATATTATGGGCCTTTTCGCATCTTCCCTGTCCAAGATCTGCCGATTCCGATAGAGGTCGAAAGGCACAAAATGGAATC